TAAATTCGTTCCCATTGAGTAAATAGCAAGGTTTTACTATTCAATAATTTTCCAAGTTTTATATTGAATTTTTTTGTGATTTTAACACTTACTGAACATAATTGGAGTACAGGAAACTAGTATTTGGTGCGCCAATCAGCCACTTGACTCGCCCACCAAGGCGTCAGTTTGTATCTCTGGTCAGTGGAGGTAACATCTTGCTTGTGGCTCTCTTGAACATAAACTATTTTTACGTTTTTACAGTACAATTATGGGTCATTCTGAAATTTATTTAACATATTGACAATATATAGTGCAGTGCAGTGCAGTGTTTATTTAAAGAAAATAACCTTGAATTATACCAAGTGAACTTAAAATTTTATGGGTGAAATGACGGCATCAAGCATGGGGTGATTTCTCTTCCACCCCCACTTCCTTCTCTTCTCCCTTCTCCTCCACCTTCACTTCTAATTCCCATCATCATCATCATCATCATCAACCAGGAGCCTTCTATATACACACCTCAAAGTAAGTGTTCTTTACTGCATTTTTTTTTTTTTTACTTTGTATGTAATTTTCAGTGAGCTGGAACCATTTACCCAAAATCCCATTGAAACAATGGTTTCGGTTAACAAAATTTTCGGTTAACGAACAACCTTCTGGAACGAATTGTGTTCGTTAACCGAGGGACCACTGTACTAGGATTTTTTTTCTCATTCTGAGAAATTCAAGGGAAAATCTCTCCTTTTCAGGCATTAAAACCAATTTTTGAGAGATTGCATCATCATACACTGACCAACCCTACATGGCAATTTACTAAACCATTGTGGCTTTATGCTCTTGCTGGCATCCACTCATTACCCACACACCAACCTAACAACAGTTGAAAATATCTCATCCCCATGGCTCCCCCAGCAAAAAGGATGAAATATGACACAAGTTTCAGCTGAAAGTTGTTGAGTTTGCAAACTCTTCAAACAACAGTGTTGCAGAGAGGAATTATGGAGTAAATGAAAAGATGGTGTGTGATTGGAAGAAAAGTGAAGCCTCCCTGAAGAAGATACCTAAAAAAAATTGTGCTGTAAGGACCGGCATCTGTCACTGGCCTGAACTGGAAAATTATTTAGAAGGTTTGGTCAAAACACACCCAGATGAAAGCAAAAATTTTAAAGTATCTGCAAACTGGTGTAGTCGCTTCATGAGGAGGAAAAATTTTGTTTTGCGGCAGAAAACTAAAATTGCACAGAAACTCCCAGCTGACCTCGAAGACAAAATTATAAATTTCCATAGATGTGTCATTGGACTGAGGAAGGAACACAACTACCCACAGTGTCAGATTGGTAATATGGATGAAACACCTCGGTTTTTTATATGCTTTAGTAATAAAACTGTTGACACCAAAGGCAAAATAACTGTTTTGATAAAAAGTGCAGGTCACGAAAAGATGAAGTTCACTGTCGTATTAACCTGCCTTGCAGATGGAACTAAATTAAAACCAATGGTTATATTTAAAAGAAAAACAATGCCAAATATAGAGTTCCCTACAGGTGTTTCGGTCCATGTCTATGAGAAGAGGTGGATGGATGAAGCTGGAGTACATTTATGGATTGACTATATGTGGAGTAGGCGGCCTGGTGGATTACGCAAGGAAAGGAGCTTGTTGGTTTGGGACATGTTCAGAGCTCATTTAACAGATAAGGTCAAGAAGCATCTACAACAAAACAACATTGTAACTGCAGTAATACTAGGGGGGTTAACGTCTGTGCTTCAACCACTTGATGTAAGCCAAAATAAACCATTTAAGGACAATATTCGTTCTGAGTGGAATAAATGGATGGTTGAGGGAGAAAAGTCATTCACGAAGGGGGGTAATATGCGTGCTCCACCACTGGATGTGTTGTGCGAATTTGTAATAAAGTCTTGGGAAGCCGTTCGTGTAGAAACTGTCGTAAAATCGTAAAAAAAAATGTGGGATTTCCAATGCAATGGATGGGGAAGAAGATGATTTGTTGTGGCGAGACAGTGACGAGGAGGAGGATGACAGCAAAAATAATGAAGACGAAGTCGGAAGCTCCAGTGATTCGGACCCGTATGCAGACCTCTTTATGTTAGACATTGAACAGCCAGCAGACTTTGAAGGATTTTAAAATGTATTCATACATGCTCTTATTGTCAATAAGATATAACTTTGAAGTAAAATTAATCTTGAAGTTAAAGTTTTAACTTTTTATCTTAGAGTTAAGGTTTTAATTACGGTGTCATTGTGTGTATATTCAATAAACTGCCATTATGTATCATTAAACTGTCATTACCCCTGTAGTGTATGTGAACTCACAATCTATAGCGCTATCATAAAATTGCGCAGATGGCATCCATACCGTAGTACCATGTAGTTGTCTGGCTGGCCGCCTGGGTTTAGTGGCATTCTGATCGATTGTTTACTGTCCATCAGCTGTTGAAAATGGCGTGTGGTGTTGTGTTCATTTAATTATACAGTACTGTCATTTACTATTTTATTATAATCTCTATGTTAAATAAGTTTATCAAACATGAATTTCAGTAGGAAATATTAGCTGCAGGCCACGGGAGTTACGCTAAGTGATGCACAGTGAGTGTTAGGCAGGCTGTTCCACTTGCTTTCTACTATGTGGTACAGCTTCACATTTTATACTCAGCGTATAAGTCGACCCCTGGTTTTGGAGAGATTTTGTCAAGCTTAAAATGTTGACCTATACGCCGCAATTTACTGTATGTTGTGGGAGGGAGGAGGGAGAGAAGAAAGTGAGATGTCACCATAGATACAATGTATCCTTTTATTCTCAAGTCGAATTACATACAGCTGCTCCTCTACTTACGATGGGGTTAAGGACCCAAATCCAGGTTGTAAGTCGAAAGTGCTTAAATAATACATAGAAAATCTAAAATGGGTGTCTCTTTTTCTTCTCAGCACCACAAAACTCTCACCTTTAAGCTTGCCAGCCATTTTAAAGTGAATTAGAAACGATAATTTTGTCAGTACACAGCGCAATCACTAACGTCGGGACTCGAAAATACATAATTTGACAAAATTTTGGTACGACTGAGGCGGTCATATGTCCAGGTAGTCATAAGTCGGGGAGTAGCTGTATGCAGTATTGCAGTGACCCCTCAGTTAACGAACTCAATCCGTTCCAGAAGGTCGTTCGTTAACCGAAAAGTTCTTTAACCGAAACCATTGTTTCAGTGGGTTTTTGGGTAATTGGTTCCAGCTCACCGAAAATTTCCTAAATTCAACAAAAATGGTAGAAAAGTTCACTTACTTTGAGGTGTGTATGTAGAAGGCTCCTGGATGATGATGATGATGATGATGATGGGAATTACAATGGGGGTGGAGGAGAAGGAAGAAGAGAAGGCATTGGGGTGGAAGAGAAGTCACCCCATGGCACCATTTCACCCATAAAATTTTAGTTCTCTTGGTGTATTTCAAGATTATTTTCTTTAAATCAACACTGTACTGCATTATATATTGTCAATGTGTAAAATATATTTCAAAATGACCAATAATTTGCTTGGAAACACAGAAAAAAGCATTTAGTTGAAGAGAGTCTCAAGCAAGATGTTACCTCCAGTGAAAACAGAGAGACTAACGCCTGTTTGCTGTGTTAAGAGGCTGGATGCTGCACTTTAAACTAGTCACTTTACCTTCAATTATGTTCAATAATTGTTAAAATGACTAAAAAATTTAATATTAAACTTTTAAAATTATTGAATAGTATAAACTTCTTGATATTTACTAAAATAGTTAGGAATTTAAGCCCTAGAACCGATTAATGTATTGGCGGACTGATACTAAAGCTGGTTGCCCGGCCAGTGCAACGAAAACATGTTGAGGTCGGTTCGTAAGAAATTCGTTAACCGAATTTTTGTTCGTTAACCGAATTGAAGATCCTTATGGAAGGCAGTTCGTTAACCGAGGCGTTCGTTAAACGAGGGGTCACTGTATATACATTTTTATGTTATTGAAGACTTTATATTATTTATAAGTCATAAGAGGCTGATCATAGTAGAACGTAATAATAATGAATCAATAATATTCAGGTTGAAAGCTGGTCTTGACTGCAATCTGCGGGTAGGGAAGAGATTACCTTCTGATACAGCTTGTCCTTTTATTTTGAAGTCATAGTACAGATTATGTGTTGTATTTTATTCTGTTATTTAATATATTAAATTATTTATGAAGTAACATACACTATAAGAGTCTGATCAAACGAAAATATAATAATGAATAAATAACAACAAACTGGCAAATGCAGCACAGCCAGTCCCACCCCTCACCCCCCTCCTTTACTGAGGGAGGGGGTGAGTTGTCAGGGAAAAGGATTTCCTTGTGATTTGGCTTGTTTTATACAGTAAAACCTCGTTAAGGTGGACTAATTGTGGGGAAGGGGTGTACGGGATAAGAGATTGTCTGCCTTAGAACAAATTAAAAAAAAATTGATCGCCATTTCAAACAAAAAATGAGTACAACACCAATGTATCCAATTTTTATGAATGAAATACATGTTTTTTAATAAAATTTTATTAAAAAAAAAGTAATGTACACAAAGAACTGTACACTTACCCCTCAAAATGGAAGGCAGATCTAGCTGGACATGCCTCTGACTGCAAGAGGCTTGCAGTCACTCTTGAGTATGAGTGCTTTGAAATTCCATATTCAGCTCATTTTTGCGAGGGAGCAGCACCTTTCTTTAGCTTTTCAATCACCTTTAACTTTTTGTTCACTGATAAGGTCTTAGGGGCATCTCCCTTGTTACTTTGTGTAAAAAAAAGTAAACTGAATACTGGTTCTTTGAAAGGGTTGTAGCATTCTGTCTTATGTTCATGAAAGAAGGAAGATCATATAAATGGTCATGCAGGTTCAGGAGCCACCCTGCTATGTATGCAGAGGTTGTCTATGATTAACAGAAGTAATTTGTGTATAAAACTCAGCTAGATATTGTATATTATTGACCTTAGAATAATGAGGTATTATCTCTCTACAGGTTCAACCTCCAAATTTTGTCTTCATTTTAACGGATGATCAAGATCTAGTCCTGCGTGGCATGTTGCCTATGACCAATGTGAAGAATCTCATTGGGAAACAAGGGGTTACCTTGGCCAATTCATATGTGGCCAGTCCTCTCTGCTGTCCTAGCAGGTAAGTGCATTCAGCAAAGAAATCTACTTAGTGTATGAATGAGACAGATGGGATATTGTATCAGGCTGTAATACAGATGTTGGACTCGTCAGTCATTGTATGACAAATTTGAATAATTGATATGTAATCAGTTGACAAATATATAAAGAACAATAGACTAGAAATGAATGTGGTGGCTTCTTGGGTATTTTGTAAGGATTGAGAAGGGAAGGATTATGCGGTGAAAATTTAATGTGACGGTGAAGAATGAGATGCAGTGGGAAACCTAGTAGCAATTCACACAAGAGGGATAAGTTAATGAGCAAAAGAGGGAATGATGCATTGATGTAGGAATATAGGAAGAAAAATGTTGCCATAAAGTATATTCAAGAACAAACAACAGTGGATGTACAGTCTCGTTCAAGATTCTTCGAACACTGTTGGAGACAGCTGGCAACTCAAGGCTGTTTGTTTACTAACGTACATAGTATAATATAATACAAAACAACAAAGCCCAACCATTAATTAAGCAACGAGGAACTAAGTAACCAATCACCGATAACTTTTACATTCATTCATAATTTTTACTACGTACAATAGTAAACAAATGGCCTTGAGTTGCCAGCTGTCTCCAGCACAGTTTGAAGAATCTTGAACGAGACTGTACATGTTAATTATATTTATTTCCACCATAATATACAGTAGATTGTGTGCAGGTGGTTTATTTTAAATTGACTGATGGATGAAGTGGCCAATTCAGCTGACATCTGGTCTGGTTATAATTTTCCTTGGAATGCTTTCATCATTTGTCTGTTAATTAAATATTGTTAACATAGTTCTTAGCTAATCATGACACAATATTCACTTTGTCATCATTCAGAGCAGCTGTAGTTTATCCTGTCATTGAGTTATGGTATGTGGGTTATGAACCCTTTGTACCCTGCCATATGAAATCTTCTTTGGACCTTTCACATGAATATTTATGGAAGACCCTGAGATAGTATGTGAGACAAATAGTATAGAATAAACATGTGGAGGAAGTACATGAGTTGAGGAAGCTCTTTGAAAGTTACAAGGAAGACATTTCACTGGGAAGGTGCAAGGATGATTATTACATAGTGTTGTTAGGGAGGTGGAAGAAAAGTGGGCGAGGAAGGAAAGTGATCACACAAGAGCTGCGTAGAGTCAACCAGAGGACTTAAGTAAAGATGAAAATAAATGGTGTTATTTACCTACCTTATTTATTTATGGCCTTCCATTAGAGGTGGCCATGTCAAGGGAAGGATGCCAGTGGCCTGTGTATTATCCCTCCATTTTTCTTTATAATTTTATTATGTGCTATTTTGAAGTCTAGTTCTGTTTATGATTCTACAGCCTGGGCTGGTAGACTGTTCCATAGGTCTACCAGCCTCTGTGTGAAGTATTTCCTTATGTTTGTTCTGCATGATAGCTTGACTAGCTTGTAGTTATGTCCCCTCGTGTTGGTGGTGCGTAACATCACAAAAAGAATGGGTTGGATTCTTGTTTTCCATCCCATCAGGATTTTGAAAGATTCAATGAGATTTGAACTATAGTGTCTTGTCTGAAGGGTTGTTAGTCCCAAGGCCCTCAGTTTACTTGGATAATCAAGATGACATAGTTTTGGAATTGTCTTGTTTGCTCTGTGTTGCACATTTCCTAGGGATGTTAGATCCTTCTCGAGGTAGGATTTCCATGCTTGTACACAGTAATCCAGACTGGAACATACTTGAGACTTGTACAGTTGAAAGAGCATTTTCCTATCTTTGTACAGTGATCCCTCGGTTAACGAGCGCCTCGGTAAACAAAATTTCGGTTAACGAATTACCTTCCATAAGATTCTTAACTTCTGTTAACAAGCATTCCCTCGATTAACGAATTCCTTACGAGCGCCCCTCAACATGTTTTCGCTTGCACCCTAGCTGTCATATTAGTCCGCCAATACAGTAATCGGTTCTAGGGCTTAAATTCCTTACTATTTTATTAAATATCAAGAAGTTTGTACTATTCAATAATTTAAAAAGTCTTGTATTAAATTTTTTAGTCATTTTAACAATTATAATTTAAGTACAGGGAAACTAGTTTTTAGCATGCCAAACAACCTGTCAACACACCATACAGGTGTCAGTCTCTGTGTCTTTTCTGTGGAGGTAACATCTTGCTTCAGACTCTCTTCAACATAACCTCTTTTTTCCTGTATTTCCAGTCAAATTATTGGTGATTTTGAAATTTATTTTACATATTGACAATATATAATGCAGTGCAGTGTTGATTTAAAGAAAATAATCTTGAATTACACCAAGTGAACTAAAATTTTATGGGTGAAATGGCGCCATGGGGTGACTTCTCTTCCACCCCAATGCCTTCTCTTCTCCCTTCTCCACCCCCATTCTAATTCCCATCATCATCATCCAGGAGCCTTCTACATACACACTTCAAAGTAAGTGTACTTTACTACCTTTTTTGTTGACTTTAGGCAATTTTCGGTGAGCTGGAACCAATTACCCAAAAACCCATTGAAACAATGGTTTCGGTTATCGAATTTTTCGGTTAACTAACAACCTTCTAGAGCGAATTGTGCTCATTAACCGAGGGACCACTGTACAGTATTCGAATGTACACTTTATAATTCCCAAATCTCGGTTTGATTTTCTCACTGCTGCCCCCTTTAATGAATGATCTATTACAATGCCTAGATCTTTTATCTTACCAACAGTGTCCAGGAAAGTGTTAGAATACAGTTGTTGTATCCTATGTGTAAGGTCTTGCCTTTCATAATGTTAAAGAGGATTTACCAGTCTTTCTGCATTGTTACATAACTTACATCATCATCTTGACTTACTACCTCCCCAAATAATTTCGTTTTGTCTGCAAATTTGACTAGTGGCTTGATATGGTTTCATCTATGTAGATCACAAACCTTTTTCCATTCAGAATATGCAGTACGCCTACTCTATTTATTGCCACTCTTTGTTGGATGTCTTCGAGTCACTTGTTAATCTATTTCAAATTCATGCCTGTGGTGCCATATGCCTGGATCTTAGAGGCTAGTTGTGTATGTGGGACTTTGTCTAATGCCTTGGAGAAATCCATGTACAACACACATCCCCTGTTAAACCTTGGTCCACATAGTTTGTTACCATTTCAAGGATCTTGATCAAGGTTTTCAAGCTGGATTTTCTTTCCATGAAACCATATTGTGATGAGTTGATGAGACTGCGCTCGGTCAGGTGTTGGATGATGGCGTCCCTCAGAATTTTCTCAAGGAGTATGCAAATATGGGATGTTAGGCTGATTGGCTTGTAGTTTTCTGCTGCACTTTTCTTGCCCTCGGTGCTTTACCTTGATCCAAGGATTTCATGAATAAGAGTCTTAGTGGGGATCAAATCTCATTTGCCACCTCCTTTATCACCTTTGTTTGTGCTTCCTCCACTCCAGGGGCTTTGAAATTCTTTCAAGCTGGTTACTTTCCTCTTTTATATTTGCTATCTTTCTTAGTTCATTTTCCACCCCTGAGGTATACATTCTCTTAGGTACTGTCATGTTATCTGTTGTCTTTTGTGTGAATACAGTGGTCCCTCGGTTAACGAGCACAATCCGTTCCAGCAGGTTGCTCGTTAACCGAAAATCTCGTTAACTGAAACCATTGTTTCAATGGGTTTTTGGGTAATTGGTTCCAGCTCACCGAAAATTGCCTAAATTCAACAAAAATGTTAGAAATTGACACTTACTTTGAGGTGTGTATGTAGAAGGCTCCTGGATGATGATGCTGATGTGAATTTGAAGTGGGAGGTGGAGGAGGAGAAGGGAGAAGAGAAGGAAGTGGAGGTGGAGGAGAAGCATTTTACTACTTCTTGGAAGGTGAGTCACCTTCCATGAAAATGTCAGGAACCTCTGGACTGACAGATTTTCCACCATGAACATCCTCTCTCCTTCTTGAAGTGGTAGGCTGAGGGCTAGCATCATCCTCTCTCCTTCTTGAAGTGGAAGGCTGAGGGATAGCATCTTGTTCCCTCTGCCTTTTACTGAAGAAAGTGTCAATTGTGGTCTGTGGGGCACCTGTCCTCCTCACCATTAACTTATGTTTAAAGAAGGAGACCATTGAGTCCTCAACATGACACAAAGTTAGTTCAGTTTTTTCCACATCTGGGTGCTTTGAAGCCAGTTCCCTGAACTTCTCCCAGTAGTAAATCACATCTTTCAACTCTTTAGTTGACATATGGTCATCACTTTGAATTTCCTCCTCACCATTGTCAGCCTCTAACATCTCATCCAGTTGCTTCAAATCATCAGGAGTAAGTTCCTCCTCATGAGACATCACAAGCTCTTCGACATCATCCTCTTCCACTTCAAGGCCCAATGACTGACCAATGGACACAATCTCCTGGTCCAACTCTGTGTCATCCTGAAATCCCTCAAAATCTGGACTACTGATGGCCATGGTGCTTTCCATGAAGAATTGAGGGATCTAGTGGAGACTTCTTGCCATGATGACACAATCGATTTTACAGCCTCCAGGATGTTGAATTGTGTCTTCCAGAACTGTTTCAGTGTTAGTTCAGGATCAGTGGAAGTTGCCTGATGACACCTAAACATTTTCTTCATGTACAACTTCTTGAAGTTGCTGATCACATTCTGGTCCATTGGCTGTGTGATTGATGTAATGTTGGGAGGCAAAAACAACACTTTCACAAAGTCAAATTGATACTCCAAAGTTCTGGCAAGTTCAGGGTCATGACCAGGAGCATTATCCATGAGGAGAAGAGCCTTTAAAGGGAGTTTATTGGTGGTTTAAGTAGCTCTTGACAGAAGGGCAAAACACCTCAACAGCCCATTCATTAAAGAGCTGTCTTGTCACCCATGCCTTACGGTTGGACTTCCAATAAACTCCAAGCTTTGCTCTTACCACTTTCTGTTGCTTGAACACCCTGGGGTTTTCAGAGTGGTAGACGAGCATAGGCTTCAGTCGGAAATCCCCTGAAGCATTGGCACCAAGCAATAGA